TGACTGATGTTTGCAAATACTTAGAAAGGAAGTATTCATTTATTAGCATGTGGCCATGGTTGTTTCCTTTTTTCAGTGTTGAAAAGAAATTTGACATCAGCTCCATCCATCCATCCATCCATCCATCCGTACATATATACAGAATCTGACTCAGCTTTATAACTAAAATTCTTCATAAACTTAGATCCTTATCTGATTTATATTATTTGAATAATTCTACTAAATAATTATCCTTTTCATCACCAAAGGTAAATGTCATATTTTACCTTCAAACACTAACAACACACTTAAGGTTCACTGTCTTTTGGAGCTCATATTAAGTGTTTTCTTAGTGTTTTGATTTTGCAGCTTTGTAACTCATCTCTAGCAGTGGGAACTACTACAGCAAAGTTTGATGCACTATCATTCATTTTCTGCATGAATACATGCATCTTTAGAATACAACTTTTTGCTGCATTGTTCCCCTTTGCGCTACCAGACCCAGAATAAACAGTAATACTTCCTACATAGAATCATATTCACCTTGTCTCTTAAGGACTGAAAACTTTGATTCACTTCATTGTAAGCTGAATAAGATGATTTGGGGGGAAGGGGCAGAATCCATACATGATGTATTATTCATTCAATAAATAGTTCTGTTCGTGTTTGTTTTCAAAACATTAAGAATTATTCTGTTTTCTGACCAGGCAAACAATTTTTTTAAACTTGATAAATAAATCTTGCTTGTTGGAAGTTTTTTTTTACCCTTTGGCAGATGGTATAGAATTGCTTTCTGGCAAAGCTGTTGAAAACAGTTTAACAAAAGGCAAGTAAAAAGGCCTCATGTTTTGTGTTGCAATTATAAAGAGTTCCGTGCTGATAGATTAAAAACCAGATACTTTGACAGAAATAAATGGGACAGGGTGGGATCAGAAGGAGGGTCATTGAGAATATTGCTGCTAGGAAGAATAAGCAGGAGTCCACTTTCTGCTTAGGGCAGATAATGGAAGGTAGTGCATGCCTATTATGGGGAGGACAAACATATGTTACACTTGTGTTTTATTTTCATATCCTAACATACTGATCACACTTTGTTTTAAAACCATAGTAAATTTTGTTTGATGTCTTGAAAAATACATCTACTTTGACAACGAAAGTGTACAACACTGCACAATGATCGCTCATCTTTTTGGTTTGTCTTCAAACAAAATAACAAATAAGCAGAGTGTATGTGAAAGAATATTTCTTAAAATAGCAGTGTATGGCATAAAGAATATCAGGTTTTTTTGGATTGGAACAGTAAGAATAGATTTTATACTTTCCACTATTTTGTTCTTGTTTAATAGAACATAGCCTGTATATTTGACTATCAAGCCCTTTGAGAGCAATAATAAACAAAATATATCATAATTTTCTTTTCTTTTTTCTTTCTGGTCTTGATTATTACATTTTGATCATCATTTAAATATGGCAATCTTTTTTGCTTCTTACTTTACATTTTCAATGTTCTGCTTGGGGTTTGGATATATTGGATTAAGTTGCAGATATAAAAAAATAATGAGGATTCAAAGAGCTACTTGAGGTAAGTGGAAGCATTTAAGCATGAATATGAGGATTTTCTTTTTTCTTTTCTTCCTATGACCCAGTTGGTCATTTGGTTGGATGTTTAGTTAGTGGATTTATTGAGTTACGCTTGGTAACGTACCGGTAGCTTGTTCATCCAGAAACCCAACTCACTTTATCCACTGTCTATACATTGTACACCTATACCAGCGATGGCAAACCTTTTTGGCACTGAGTGCCCAAACTAGAATGCACGTGCATTTCGGAGCATAGAAAACCCGAAAACCAGCTTGCCTATGCAATTGCATGCGCTGACCAACTGGTCTTTGGGTTTCCAGCACATGCATGCATGCCAGCCAGCTGGTCTTCACGTGCCCCAGAACATCAAAACCCAAACACCAGACTGGTGCATGCGTGCCTGTTTTTGGAGGGCCTTTACAGGCTATTTTCAAGCCATTTGGGGGGGCATTTTCAGGCCGTTTCCAAAAAACAGCCTGAAAAACAGCCTGTTTTGGGGGCCATTTTCAGGCTGTTTTTGGTTTGGAAAATGGCCTGCTTTCTGGCCGTTTTTGGTGCCGTTTTCAGACTGTTTCTGGTGTTTCGGTGCCCACGAAGACCAGCTGGCTGGCATGCATGTGCATGCTAGAAACCAGAAGAGCAACTGGCAACAGCGCACATACCCACAGAAGGCTTTGCGTGCCACCTAAGGCATGCATGCCATAGATTCGCCATCACGGGCCTATACAGAGCTAACTGTGCATTTCATTGGAACTATATTGTTAACTCAAGTTTCCTGCAATTTGATGCAATATGGCACCCTAATCCATAGAAATATTCATAGAATCATAGGACTGGAAGAGACCTTGGAGATCTTCTAGTCCAACCCACTCTTTACCCATTTGTCTATTCCAGATAAATGGCTACTCAATCTTTTCTTAGTCTGAAAAAGGTTTTTATTTTCCATTTTTTCATTTTCATACACTCACATATATACTGTGCATAGCCGGAGCCATACAACA